TCTGAGCAACTTCATATCAAATTGAACAGTTTAGAAACACATTTACATCCACATATAATTTTATCGAAACTAACTAAAGTCAGAACTAAAAATAAGAACTGAACGACTTGATGTCTATCTCGAATCGAGAGTACGTATACGACTGTGTTAATACGAAGAGGAATATTCATCCAGAATCCAGAAGGGAGACTCTGATACAGCGAAGGCATTAGCGAACCAGGTAGCCAAGCAAATACGTGCATTTGTCGAGCGGACTCGTACGACACGGCCGTACACAGAAGCGGTCTGGAACAGGCTTTATACCGGAGGAGAAACCGACACGATGTACCCCCTATGGAGTAGCGTTGCCTCGATGCTTCTACACGCGAAAAATTTGCAACCGAGACAATGGCGGTCGTATTCTGGCCGGTCTACACGAAACACGAACGGCACGAGTTGTATTCTGGCGCCGATCGCTAAGAGGGGGAGGATACGACCATACGAGATTGAAATATAACCGGTCGCTCAAATATGGATGGGAGCACCCTGATATTTATGCCATCGGTTCCCTGTATTTACGTATGTATGCATGTACACGCATACGGCCAATAAGTTTCTCCGACTTTGGAGAATGAAAGAAATCGGCCAGCATTTATGATTCGGCATAATGAAGCTGATTCTCTTTGTTGCGTTCCGAGGCTCTTCGGAAGAAATTATTTTTTGGACTCGAGGATTTTTTGGAAAGAATTATTTTAGAAGGAGTGAACAGATATATTATTATATTGCAAAGGGTGGTTTGATATTATGCTACAAAGGGTGGTTTGATATTATACTACAAAGGGTGGTTTGATTATTATTGACACTTCGAATATTTGGATCTTTAATTACCTCAACTTCAGATATTCAGACATTTGATGTTTACTCAAGGTACAATTAAAACCCACACTTTTTCCTTACAAAATATATTTCCACATTTATAATACCACATAACAATATTTTATCTTCAGTCACAAAAATTATTTTGTTATTACTTATTTAGTGTAACTAAAACTTTGATAGTAGACTTTCGTTCGAACGGAGAGCACGATCAACCGTGAAAGATAAATCTCTATCAAAGGAGAATCTAAAATGATTTCTCGAAGCCGGAAATCCCTTAGCATTGAGATTTCACGAGAGGACCTCCCCAGAGTTATTTTCGATCGAACGAACAGAGAGATACAGGCTCGTCGAACCAGAATCGATGCGCACTCGAAGTCGTATAGATCGGTATCGGTCGGATATCAATCGATCTTGACTAGATCCTCTGTAGATCGGGGGATAACGCGCGGAACCAGGTACAACAGAGGTAGATACCAGAAGCGGCGGTTTAACGCGAAGATCGATGGTCGATTGCATACTCAATGGCGTCGAGGAGGCTTCTAAATCACCGGCCTCGAGATTTAGTGCACTCGAGGAGTTGCAGTTTGTTGTCTGGGACGATCGGTTTCACGTGAGGGCATTGAAAATGAAATACTTTGTGTCAAGTGAAAACGAAATTTCCCTAATGTCTTTGTTTAAGACTCTTCAGAGATATTAACGCCTTCCAGGGTTTTGTCTATGATGTACTAAAGAGAAGATGATAAATAGCTGTTCATTTTATTGTTTTATATAAAACTGCTCCTCTCTTATTATATTCAGTAAAATCTTAACAAATCATGAAAACAAAATTGACATGTAAATTACGATTTATGAAGTGAACAATTTTAATTATAATTATACACACGTTAATCTCTGATATCCAATTTATCTAACATACATCTAATTTGTATGATTAATTTATACATCTAATTTTTATACCTAACCTGATTTGTACAATCAACCTGATTTATGTACACATTTAACTTAATTCATATATCATTAAAATTTTATAACCAACCTCAACAGTAATGAACAAACTGAACACAAGGTTTAAACATAAATTTCTCCTTCATATCAAAGAGTTGCATTCTATAATTTTGCAAAGCTACTACCTTTAACATGTCCTATAATCCTACAAACTTTGAAAGCAATCTACGTTTCATCCATCATGCCCCTACATATATTGCCGAACCGTAAAAAATCTAATAGCAATAAACCTTCGTAGATTATCATCAGAAAAGATTGTACGTCTTCATCCAGTCTTAAACACCCCATTAAAATTCGCCAGCGGTGGCCACCAAGAAAAATGGAAAAATGGTAAGGATCGAATTTGCCTAAAATCATTGCGCGAACGTCGTTCCGAAACGTGGGTACACAACCGAACGATTGACCGCTGGATCGCGGGGGTGGGGTATTAACATTGAATGCTGAAGCGAAGTTAGAACCGGCGAACGGACCGCGACATGCATTAAACATCTGCCATATAGCCGGACAATTCTGAATTATACATCCCCGGAGAGATAGCCGGCTGAGTGGCCGCGGAATTGTCCCACTATTTCTTTGCGGGCAATCGAAGCTGTCCCGCTGCACGATAACGCTACTCCCCTGCTCGCGGATTGGTGCCCTGTGAACGGTTCCTTGTGAAGGAGTTTCTTGCACGCCTTCAGATCGGATCGGAGTCTCTGGGTCACGCGGTTCGGGAAAAATGTGGAAAAGTTTGGAGTGTTAGCTTCAAGCGGTGGATTTAGGTCTAGGATGTGAAAAGTTAAGAAGAGGTTACAGAACCTTGAAAATTGGAGGATTTCTCAGTTTGAAGAATTTTAGACTTCCTGATTTTTAAAATAATGATAAAGTTTCAAAATCTAAGTTTGTAATTTTCAAGATTGCCTTTTCAGTTTTTTCAAAGGTCAGATTCTCTCATTTTCAAAGAAGTCTGGATTTGAACCTAAAACCTTGATCCTGAAGGTGAAATTTTGATCCAAATTGTCGCATCATTAAATCCATAGATTCCCAAATTCCTAGATCCCCAAATTCCACGATTCACATAATACTAGTTCTCTCAAGTGCTAGATCCCATTTCCCAAATTTTGAATTCGTCCCTAAATTGTCAGATCTCCAAGTGAAAAATGTCTGCACTCCTACCATATTTTCCCTATGGATCCGCTCGACCGTGTCACGTCCGTCCCGAACAAAAAGGAAATAAAACAGGACATACCAATTTCGAATTCGTCGTACCTATTGGCCCTGATACTTATCGCGACCAAACAGAGGCCAACAAAGAAGGTATCACTCGAGGATCACGCAGGTGCATCGAACGTGTTTGCGCCCTTTAGGTGTTTCGCCGTTGGTTGAGATGCATCTCGTGCGGGGAATCGAGCTGGGGGAAAAAAAGAAGAGTTGGCCGACGCGTACGGTCCGTGGGCCATCGGGCCTCAGGATCTGCCGACGGCCAGAAAATCGAGCTTTCGACAAGACAATCGTATACGAGAGGCCGCCGATTGCCTCTTATACCCTCCTATGCACCACGAATACGAATGCGGAGGTGCGTAAGGTAGGAATTCACATTCCTGGCCATATTCGGCTCTCGCCGACCCCTCGTGTCGACTCCTAACTCTTTCAGGACGTGGCAACCGCCACAGGACACGTGGGGTTACCGTATTTATATCCACCCGGGGCCTCTGTTTACTCCGAGAGCTTTAAACAGTTAGAGGGAAAGCTCGTATTTGGACTCGCTCGTTGACTTCAATAGTTTCGAACGCTGAATTTTAATCCCCTAACACGGACCCTAGCTACACCTTTATCGCTACGATCGCAAGATTTGTGCGCTTGGCGTGTGCCGTTCCGGACCCTTTGTGGACTTAGAGGCTCAATGAAAATGTTTGCTGAAGTGGTGGGTTTCATATTTTATTTTGACGACGCAGATTTTTGGGTTCAGTTAGGTTTATCTGAGCTAGTTTCATTTGGGAGGATGCTGATGAGGACTTTTGGGCGGAGCGGTTATGATGGGTTTTGGTAGGGTGAGGCTGATGTGGATTTTTGTAGGGAGTGATGATGAGGAGTTCTTTCAGAATGATGCTGATGTGGATTTTCATATGGAGTGATGCTAATATGGACTGTCATATGGAGTGATGCTGATATGGACTGTCATATGGAGTAATGATGAGGAGTTCTTTTAGAATGATGTTGATGTGGATTTTCATATGGAGTGATACTGATATGGATTTTCATATGGAGTGATGCTGATGTGAACTGTCATATGGAGTGATGCTGATATGGACTGTCATATGGAGTAATGATGAGGAGTTCTTTTAGAATGATGTTGATGTGGATTTTCATATGGAGTGATGCTGATGTGGACTGTCATATGGAGTGATGCTGATATGAACTGTCATATAGAGTGATGATGAGGAGTTCTTTCAGAATGATGTCGATGTGGATTTTCATATGGAGTGATGCTGATGTAGACTGTCATATGGAGTGATGATGAGAAGTTGATTCAGAACGATGCTGATGTTGATTTTCATATGGAGTGATGCTGATGTGGACTGTCATATGGAGTGATGCTGATATGAACTGTCATATAGAGTGATGATGAGGAGTTCTTTCAGAATGATGTCGATGTGGATTTTCATATGGAGTGTTGCTGATGTAGACTTTCATATGGAGTGATGCTGATATGGACTGTCATATGAAGTGATGCTGATATGGACTGTCATGTAGAGTGATGATGAGGAGTTCATTCAGAATGACATTGATGTGGATTGTCCTATAGAGTAATGATGAGGACTTCATTCAGAATGATGCTGATGTAGACTGTCATACAGTGTGATGATGAGGAGTTCATTCAGAATGATGTTGACATGGATTTTCATATGTCATGATGGCATCTTCATTCAAAATAATACTGATTCACTCGGACTGATATTCAAGATACCTTAATCCTATCTAACCGCAAATACTACCCTATGTACCCAACAAAATTAACAACATCAAAATACTACATCTTGCAAAAATGCTAATTGCAAAGCTTCTCGACAAATTCAGTATCCAAAGTGTGCAATGAAGTTTATGAAACTTAGAGATCGAAAGGCGTCTATCTAAAAATATTTTTTCTTCGGGCTTACCTTGGACATAGAAGCACCCAATCCAGCTTGACACGAACCCTGCCTATGGTATCCCCAGTACCCTGAAACGGAAACACGCAATTATATCGTATCGTCCTTCGCTGTTTCAAACAGAGACATCATATCTCGGTCGTTTCGTCTGAACGGACCCTTGCCCACGTAACGGGTGCCCCCGATAATTGAGAACGGTCTTCGAGTCGACCCTTCGTAACAATTCACGCATAATTGCATTGGGTAAATGAAAAATGATTTCGGGCGATTTAACCTGTTGACCGAATGTCACTTTTATCGCTCAACCAAAACATTTTACTAGGAAAAAATAACTTGTGATGCAAAAATTAATTGTTGGGATTTGGTCTATTTGTTTGAACTATTTTACTGTTTAGTTTCTTTTTAATTCTTCTATTAATTGAGTCTCTATTTACAGACTTAACTACTTGTTTCTAATTGTGTACATGATTTTAATTCTTTCATTTGAGTCACTGTATAAATAATTTTAATAATCTTGCTTTTGAAGTAGACTTTTAAGTTAAGGTCATAGTTTATCTGAATTCTATTTTAAAAAACACCATTGATATTTAAGTAAAATTCTATACAATAATAATTAAAAAAAAAAAATGTTTCCTGTTAAATTTTCCTAAAAAAAGTCCTTTCTATTAAATTTCCATATGAAACATTTTGTCCCAATTTTGTTCCTAGTTACTCCAACAAAAGCACACACGTAGTTAAACCAGTATCCCGTAACGCTTGACTGGTGTCACTATCTCTTACCACTCCAAAAGAACAAAACTGGACGCAAGTTCGATTTGTATCAAATCTAAGTATATTGGATAAACGAGAAGCTCGAGGCGATTTCCTGGAATTCGAGAGTCTCGAACGGTAAGCCGATGGATCGATAGTTCGAATCGTGGAAAACGAATTGCGAATGCGTCACGGTGCAAGATCGATCCAGGATTAATGATGCATACATATTCCTTACGAACATGTGCAGGAGTGCGTGGCAATAGGCCTTTAAAGCGATGCCTAACTCGACTTCCTAGTCGATAACTCGACATACGACCTCCCGTGTCGGGGTACAAGACGTCTCGCAAATGCGCGCGTTAAATGTTTCACCTTTGCTGACATCGGCGTCAGTTTCCCTCTGGAATTCTAACTTTTTTTTTTTCCTTTCGACGATACAATCGCGAATGTTTTATTTTAGATCGCTTCTAGCGGTCGTGATTCGAATAGCTAAATTTCTGAAATGGAATTTCTACTGTTTGGTACGTGCGTGTCTCGTGTAAAGAGATAAAAATATCATGTTGTACCTTTGGATAAATTTTAAACATAAATAAGTTTGATATACGACATTGATAGATAGACTGATTTTGTAAGAGCCTCTGTTATCAATTTGATAAAATAATTATTATAAATCATGTTGTACCTTTGAACAAATTTTGAACATTTTTAAAAATGAATATAATATGCAACATTGATAAATAGACATATTTTGTAAGAGCCTCTGTTACCAATTTGACTAAATAATTATTATAAATCATGTTACACCTTTGGACAAATTTTGAACATTTTTAAAAATGAATATAATATACAACATTGACAAATAGACTAATTTTGTAACAACCAACGTTATCAATTTGACTAAACAATTATTATAAATCATGTTGCACCTTTGAACAAATTTTGAACATTTTTAAAAATGAATATAATATACAACATTGACAAATAGACTAATTTTGTAAGAGCCTCTGTTATCAATTTGACAAAATAATTATTATAAATCTCAAGTTCTATAAAAGTTCAAATCTCCTGCATTACTGATGTTTGAGACAAATCTTTAATATGTGTAAATGAGTATAATATAAGACCTTGATAAGTAGAATAATTTGTAAGTTCCCATGTCGTCAATTTGACAAAACAATTGTTATTTATATCCAGTTTTAAAAGAGCCTAAATCTCATGCGTCGTCGACCCTTCAATCAAATCATTAACATCTCTAAATAAGTATAATATAAGACATTAATCAGTAGTATAATTTGTAAGTTCCCACGTCGTTAATTTGACAAAATAATTATTATAAATTATCCAGTCCTAAAAGAGCCTAAATCTCGATGCGTCACCTTCTTGACGTTTACAAGAAGCACTAATCTAAATTGTCACTGCATAAATGAAGATGCCAACTTGAGAGTATAGAGAAGTACCTATAGAAAACTGCAGAGAAGTATAGAAAAGTACAGAAAAGTACAAAAAAGTACAGAAAAGAATGAACAATCTAATTATGCGTCTAACCTAAAAAAAACAGTTCGCATCGAAGAGTACAATTTCATTTTCCACTGTCCTGTTTCTTTCTGCGTGCCAGAGGCAGCCGCTGAAGTATTGTTGGTAGCCCGAAGGCAACTAAGAAACGCGGATATTTCTAGGATTGCAAAAGGGCATTCCTGCAGGCGGAAAGAGCAGATCACGGCGCTGAAGAACGGCTATAATAACCCCTCGTTTTTCTCGATGACACGTAATTGCCGCCGCAGCACGTGAAATAGCGTATCAGTCGCGGATAAAACGGTCTCTGTCAAACTCGTACTCACAAAGGCGTCGAGAGTCTCGAACTGGTTCGGCTGAGTGAAAAACGGGAAATTATAGGAAATCTCGAGCTGGCGGTCGCGAGAAAAATACTCATCACAACAGCACGGTCGTAGAGTGAAATTGATAACTGCGGAAAAAAGTCGATCTTTGATGAATTATTTATTGGAGGAAGATGGAATACAATGCACTTGGTTGCCGTGACTGTTTTACGAATTAACGCGAATGGAAGAATGGGATAATTTTATGATGAATTGTGTACGAAATTTGTACGAATAGATTACCTTCTGATTCTATAAATTTCGCTACTTTATTTTAGTTTTTTATTTAGTTTTATTTTGTGCACCTTGCTTCTTTAGTATTTAATATAATTTCTGAACTTGGTAGGAAATGGATAACGGTTAGGTTAGGTTAGGAGTTAATTAGGAGTCAGGTTAGGTTAGGAGTTAATTAGGAGTTAGGTTAGGTTAGGAGTTAGAAGAATTTGTACGAATAGGTTATCTACTGATTTTATAAATTTCGCTACTTTATTTAAGTTTTTTATTTAGTTTTATTTTGTGCACCTTGCTTCCTTAGTATTCAATAGAATTTCTAATCTTGATAGAAAATGGATAACGGTTAGGTTAGGTTGAAGTGAAGTGTTAAACGCAGGGTACACTAAGATATCAAATAAAAATGAAAAAATAAGAAACACGAGAATCGCATTTAGTTTTATGACAGGAGAAACATGATCATAAATTAACCGTTTGAATAGGGTGGTAAAATTACGAGGCGAACGTGTCACGTTGGTAAAACGACAAACTTTTAATTCAAACAAATGTACAAGGAAAAAGTTTCAAAGGTATACTGTCATATATTTATTACTCTCCCTACATTCTTTTATTCCAATAAAAAATTTCTATTATACTATTTGAAGAGAAGATTAATGAAGAGTACAAGTTTGCACATATAAAGAATCTCCGTTCGCGTATAATTATTAATGGACCGATAGTTAATAATAAGCAAGGCTGATACGCAAGGTGGATCACACGATTGCTGCCGGAAAGATTAATCTCGGTCTGACACTTAACATTAGCATCAATAAGCTGCGCCACCCGTCAAAGCTGTGCGAACGTCATCGCAACGAGTTGCTGCCATTAACCGACAATCAGCCATTATCAGTGAGCACGAATAACAAAACCTTCGTTTGCTATTCCACGGTAAATTCGCCATTAGCTCATCAAGATTACCGATAATTACTTCCCATCGTTTATTCTAATTTATGAGGAATCAAAAAGAGATACGATTCTGAGAGTTCAATCTCTTTATTCAGATTCAGTATTTTCAGCTAAATTTAGGTTGTGAATGAACCATCAGCGAATTAAATATTAGTTGTCTGGTTACTGCAACTGATTAATCGGGAGTCACTGAACCTTCGCCTTGTTTTGCCTCTGTATGCACATTTTATCTTTCAATTGACTGAAAATATTCTTGTGCAATCTTTAGTTCAAACGAAATGTTCTTTTCGTTCAATTAATTCAGTTTTGGTGGACATGTTGTTCAATGATGAGAAAGTTTGAGGTTAAGCATCTGGAAATTTATTTTGTCAAAATGTTAGTTCAATGTTATAACTTAATACTGTTGAAGTAAATTGCTTTATAGATACTATTAGATAAATAAAATTGGATATTGCTATACTAATGCACATATTCTGTATTTATATTTAAAAAGTGTAGTTTGAAGTTCTCCATCCAAAAGAAGGTTACCTCTACATCACATAATTTCAATAACTAGCTACATTTTATAGCTACATTTTTAAATATACATACGAACATTTCATAACAAATTTCCCTCTCATATTCCTACAAACATTTAGCATTTAACTCCAGGGCTTTGCAAGTTAGCTTACGAATGCTACCTCACAAAATACCAATAAGTAGTCACGCAACAATTTCCCTCATTCTTATTCCTCCCCAGCAAGTTCAAACTATATATTTAAATTAATAGGTCCCAACAATGTGACCATTTCTTACCTGCCTCTCTAAAAGACTATTAAAACCACTGGCAAAGTAGCATAGCGATTCAGCGAGCATCGTTTGAACGGAGTTCGTGAACCGCGAGATCTGTGGTGTGCAAGGCAGTAAGAAAACAACATGTGTATGGGAGAATATCCGGTGGGATCCCCATACAGCAGGACCATGCCTTCTTCTACATGGCCACGTACCACGTACATACGTTATGAGCACGACGAAGGGGCCCTGACGGCCGATCGGTCACTTTGGACGAGCTGCCAGTCACGCAATTACATCAATCGGTCGTTGACGACGATCCAGCCGTGTCGAGCAAGGAAAAAAGGAGTCTCGAAGCCCGCCATCGATCGGCGCCGCCGTTTTCTTCGCGTGCATGCGAATGCGATCTCGACACAAACTTTTTAACACTATTCCTGATTTTCTATTCAACTTACGTTGTATGCTAAAATTACTGGCTAACTTTTTGGTCATTTTGTGGG